ATATATATATATATATATATATGTAATATAATATATATATCTATAAAAAGCATCTTAACAATAGTGACTGTGAACCGGTGCTCGGAGGATTTATCTAGTGAGGATTCAAGTGTGTATATATATATATATATGAGCTGCGAGGTGGTTCTCGGACACGAGGCTCAACTCTACCCAAAAACGTGATTTCTCTTCCAAACAGCTAGTATAATCTTCTCCATCGCGATGAACGTTGAAACTAATGCACGTTTTTGTTTTCGTTGGGTAACCAGGCCCATCGTGAACCGAGTGAAAGTACAGAAGGGTGTGGAGTGTGATGTGTGCTTGTTTTCTTTTGCTGTTTTGCTACGTAGCTGTGTCTACGTACCCCTAGAGACTCCACTAGGACGCGTGGCCGACATTGGTCGGGTTTCCAAGTGACGCGAGGTGATGAACGTACTGGTTGCGATGATTCTGAAGGAACAGGCTGCTGGGACTCGCCTCGGAGACGTCCAGCTCCTCGTCCTCTTCCTCGTGGATCGTGTCGCTGCTCGGGCTACGGCTCATCGGCGAATCACCGCTGCTGTGCGAGTGGGAATGTGGCCTGTGCATACCGGTGGACATCGACAGGTCTTCCGGTTCCGTCTGCTCCGGCAGATCGACCGGTATACCGGATAGATTTAACGGCATCGGCATGGAGGCGTTCACAACTGGGCTGGGTAGCTGTCGATGCGCGGGTCTGACCTGCGTCATCGGTTTTTTGGCCATCAGCGTGGTCGCATCCGGTTCCTCCATCTCCACATCGATATCGATGTCCATGTCCTCGTCCAGATCGTCGCTGGCCAACGAGGGCGAGGCGACCTGCGACCTGGACACGCCACCGGTGCCGCATTTGTGATGCATCAGATGATGCCTCCGTCTGAATCGCATCTGACAATGCTCGCACTCGAACGGTTTCTCGCCCTTGTGGATCAACAGATGCGCCTTCAACTGATTCGAGTCGCTGAACTTCGCAGAGCACAGCTCGCAGGCGTACGGACGTTCGCCGGTGTGCACGCGCAAGTGACGGCGCAGGTTCGCTACCTGAACGAACTGACGGTCGCAGTGGCTGCAGTGGTAAGGTTTCTCGCCCGTGTGCAACCGCATGTGGGTCTTTAGATGGTGGTCCCGGGTGAATCTGTAACAATTAGAAAGAAAATTCCTTTTTAAGCAAAGGTCGTTTCGATTCTTATCCAGACAGATCTCTGGACATTGTGCTTAATTCAGAGTAATTGGAAGCTAACCCTTAATATAACTGTACAGAGGATATTATCCGATTAAAACATTTCTTAAACATTTTTATTCAACTCTACCAAAATTCCTTGTAAAAATGGACTATAATCGCTAGAAGATTTGCATCTACAATATAACCCTTCTAAAAATCTCTAAACTGGCCCATAGAAGATACAATTTGTGGTACAACTACTGGTACAATCCTCTAGGTTGCCTCGACCGTCTGAACGACATACGAGTCATACGAGAAATCGTATCGTTCATGCTTTAATATCCAACAATAGTAATCTCGAGACTCACCTCTTGTGACATTCCGGGCACTCGAACGGTTTCTCCCCGGTGTGCGTGCGTTCGTGGTTCTGCAGCACGTGCTTGTAGCCGAACGATCTCGAGCACACTCCACAGGTGAACACTTTGTCCCTGCCGTCCTTGCCCGCCTCGGGGCTGACCGAGGTGGGTGGACTGAGAGGTGCTGTGCCCTCGACCGTGGCCTGAACAGTCTCGGTCTTCGACTTGGCGGTTTTCCTCTTGGCAGCCTGGCCTTTCTTGGTCATTCTGTCTGCACTACTGCTGACCACGTTGTTGTTGTTGTTGTTATTGTTGTTCGCCGAGGCGTTGTTCCCTCTTCGCGATGTGGACTTGGTGCTCAACGCTGGTGAGACTGGTCCAGGCGAATGATGAACAGGGGACGGTGGCGACGATGCCACGGGTGGCGTTCAACGCTGCCGTTCGACTAGCCGCGAGTAACTGTTGGGGTGTGAGCATTGACAGCCCCGCCGCGGCATTGCCCATTCCGGGGAACATCACTTGCGACGTGTTGTTATTCAATGGGGGAGAAAGCGGTTGTTTCTCGGGTTCTTGTTTCATGTCGAGGTGCTGGCTGGTCAAGAGTCCTGGAAAAAAACAGGGAGAACAAAACTTAAGCAACTCTGTTGAATTCCCCAGTGAAAGATTGACTCTTTGATGCAAGACTACAATTCTGATGCACTGTGTTACAGTAAGATCTTTGCCTGCACAAATGACTCTGATTCGATCTTTATATTGAGAAGCTGAGGATATTTTTGTCAAATGTCAGTTTTTTCGGTGTTTTCTTTTTTCAGTTACTGTTTTATATACCTTCTATATTTTAATGTGTAGATACATTCTTGGTCATTACTAGGGCACACTTATCGAATGCTTATGCTGTAAATGTTACGAGGTACAGTAACTCCTCGAAGATTATCAACAAGTAGAGGTCTCCCCAGGTGTAACGCAGACTTTTAAATGTTTAATACAGTGATAGAGTTTTGAATTTTGAAGCCAATGATATTTGTTTCAACCGCGTATCGCAATTAGTTTATGAAATATTTAATATTCAGTGGAGCCTTCGACCACTTATCGAGGATTTACTGTAGCTGTGGTACTTTACAATAAATCCCGTCGTGTATCGAGACCTCGGCGTTACGATACACGCGTACGATGTGTAAAAAGGCCGAGATGTGTACCGTGTGTGCGAATTGTACGTCGTTTCTTTCCCTCCCGCGTGTGTCTCTCGTCTTTCTTTCTCTAGGTCGATCCACCGTAGATAGCGCCTCTCTCCTCCCGAACCGCCCTCCCACACACGCCGCCCGTTGCTCTCACGTGAGAGGTTCGCCCGGTCCTCCTCCATTCACTCACACTCCCGTACGTAGCGGCGGTTCATTCATAAGGCTCGGCTTTCCACCCACGTCACACACCGCGATGTGTACCCCCGCCCCTCCTGCACGACTCGAGGCCAACGACTCCGCGAAACCGTGTCTGACTGAACATTCAACGTGGTTCTTCGTGTTTCGAGCGAATTTCCCAGATTCCCAAGAGAGGTCGAAGGTCCTGCAACGTCCTCGAGAGACTTACAGATTCGCTCGAGATCAAGACCTTCGAGAGTGTCCCTCTCTCTCTCTCTCTCACTCAAGATCGCGTTAAATTAAATTGACCGAAAATACACGGCGAGTATCAACGTTGGATCGCCGTATTGGCGATTTTCCTGCTTTCTTCGAACGAGTGATTCCCAACGTCGAGAATAAACCCCCGAGAGTAGTATCCCCCACGCGCGACGCTTTAAAGGTTTTTTTCCGAAAAAGAGCTACGTATTAGGGTTGCGCCATCCCGATGATTGCTCATACGCGCGACTGACGTCCAACGCGTGTTAAGTACGTAATTTGATTTAGGTCAGAGATTATCCACTTTGGAAGTTATAAAAAATCGTGCGCACCTTTTCAGAGAATTCTTTGGATAAAGTTCCGAATGCTCCCGGTTACCGATCGACGCAAAATTTAATTTTGAATATCGACGAATTACTTTTGTCATATTTACTTTAAAAAAATATATTATTAATACTAAAGAGCCACCAAAGTCATTCGGAACTAGGGCCAATTCATTTCTGCTGCTTTGTAAATAAAAACTTTTTCAAGTTACAGGGTTACGAAATTTGTGTTAAAAAAAACAAGAAACTAACGTAGCCATGCTGCGAGACACTTACTAATTAATGTGGTAACGTTTAGGAAGAGGGGCTTCCGTAATGAGACCGGTCGAATCAATAAGGGTGCGTAAGATCTCGACTCTCCTATTCTCTTTCCTCGGGGCTGCCCTAAAACTCCCTCGCTAGGATTCTTACAGGCCTACAATCGCCGTTTCCCGGCAACACGACGACGAGTGTACCGCCCTCCCCCGCTCGCGCCATCCCTTCCCTAATTGGTCGCAACCCCGATATTCCCTTTGAATCCCTTTTTCCTCCTACTCCGCGGAGAATTTTCTCCTTCGACCGCACACGTTTCCTTTTTTATTTACCCATAATCTCAAACGCGCAAGATTCACCCAAAAAAGAAAAAAATCTGTACACGGTTCTCGAGCATACTTTTTATTCACGGTCCAGAGAGCGGTTACCATTTTGGTCATTTCTCAATTTATCTCCAAAGATAATACTGCTTCCTCCTGATCGTCACCGAATTCACCGAAATCGACCGAACGAAAATACGATCGTGCGTCAACCACGTCGTCGTTCCGACAGAAACTATACGATACCACTGTTTATAACCTAACCCGAAATCGCGCCATCAGATCCCAACTTCACGGTATATAATAACCAAACGCGTTTTCAACCGCGATTCTGCTCGCTGTTATTTTTAGTACGGAACCACGAAACAGATAGAGAAAGAGAGACACGTCGCGTGTTGAGGGTCTCATTTGCTTCGGTTGGCTCGCGTCCCCGTCAAGCAATTTCACGTCTTCCTGGCTTATCGATGTTTACAATGTGTCACAACACGGGAGCGTGTCGCCCCGCGGGCGCTTTTAGATCCTGGCGCCGGGCCAACGGTTTCTCGACCGGAACACGAGAGAACCTTGCAGCGCGGGTAACCGTTCTCCAATCATTTCGCGTACGAATAACATCTGTGGCCACAGAACGCCGGTTTTCACGTGAGATCGAATGGACATCGTATCTGTGTGTCACTCGCGGCGTGAAAATAGACGGAAAAGAAGACCGAATCACCTTGACCGTGTCAAAACAAACGTCGAATGAGCATTTTGTTTCCGTGAGCACGAAGAAGTGAGAGATTCGAGCGAATTCCGTTATATTGTGTGTGCGTGTATATATGTGAGTCGCAGAGGAAAGTGAAATCAGCGCGTATCTCGTTATGCGCAAGCTTTTTAGGAAGTTTGTCGCGCGAATCCCTACGATACCGATTTGACATGTGAATCACATAACACCTGGTGGGAGGCAAACTTACCTGCGTTAATTTGCGCCTCTTGGAGATAAGACAGTGCCATTCTACGATCCGTGCTGCGTGGTGTTATCACTTTGACACTCCATCCACTTCCGTGCACAAATACGACACACTTCCCGGCGAGACTCTCGATTCAACTAGATCGCGGCGACCGTGTGTACTTCTGGTTAACGGGGCACTGCACACTCAATAGAACAGCAACGACGACTGGAGACGTCTGTGATACCAGCGTCTTGCGTATTTCTTTATCTAGACGACTGTGTTCTCTTCTGTTTGACGATTTCGGCAGCCCCACGCAGAAATCCACCGGAAGAATCCTCTCTCCCGGTTAACAAGGTAGCAAAAGCTACGTGTGTGTGTGTGCACGTGCGTGGGCGATCGTCGAGGAAACTCTAGGCACGAGTGTCCGTGTGCTCCACGTGCGACCGAATAAACCGAACCGAATCAACAACGTAAAATACGTAAAAGAAAAAAAAAAAGAAAAAAAAAACAAAGTCACACGGAGAACGGAAAGAACCGTGGATAAATGAAAAAAAAGAACAAACCAAGGCGGATACGTAAAAACGTGTTGACTACTCTACTATAAACAACAAACGTCGTCGTTCGACCACGGAGAACGACGACGATCAACGACGTTGCTCTGGGCTGACCTAACCCAATACTAACTGACAATCGAGTCGCGCTCACTGTAGTCAAACATCCCCCACCCTGACCGCCCAGTGCTGCTCCCCCCACTACTTCACCGGCCGTCATCCCCACTTAGCCGTGGTTCCCTCTACCCTCTCGAATCGCAACCCCGGATGCGCGAGTCGCAAGAAACCCGCCACGTCGGGGGATGAAACGAGCGTGGTGCGGCGCGTGTTGGAGAGAGACAGAGGATCGTTGGTGAACGAAAGATGACGTGAGACAGACGATACAGGAAAAGTAGGGACTGAATAAGGATAGAGTTATAGAAAGAGAGATAGACCGACTTGGGGAGGACAGGGTGAACCTGCGAGCGTGATCTTTCAAGGGGTGGGGGATTTTCAGAGTGTCTGTGTGGTGAAGAATATACACACGTTTCTTCTCCCCTGCTACACGATGGACGAGGACGGCCACAGAAGGCGGGTAATCGGTGAAACCTGCGAGAGAAAAGATACCAGAGTTGTGTGTAGGTCGTTCAGGCGCGGTGAGGGTGGTTGGGAGGTTATGGGGGTGGGCAGAGGGTTGACGATATTCCGCAACTATAAACCGAACGATGCGTCGCTCACCCTTTGAGATCACGAGAAACAAGAACGATAAAAACGGGCGGAAGGGTGTAAAAGGGAGATTGTTACAAAACGCGAGAGCCTTTCTTGCGTGAGTCATTCCTCCTAATGTGCATTCCAGTTTGCTGGTTAGTTTCGTTCGTTCTTGTTTTTCCTTTTTCCTTACAGGTTTCGGTAACGAGGAAGTCTCGAGGGAAACCGTCTCTGTTTCTTAGTTTCGGTTAAATTATTTCCGCGAGATTGTGCTGGGAAGGAAAACTGAGGTGAATCTTATGTAAATGGAGGGGATTTATGGAAGATTTATCGAGATATTTTTATACACTCCCGAGAATTGCGAAGAACCTTGATGGTTTTATATATGTGTACATTTCAGATTACGTTCTGTGAACTTTCGATTTCTAGTAAATGATAGTTTAGGATGAAGGTTGAAATTAAATATTGTATTGTATGGGTTATAATATCGCGACGTTTATGCACGTGCTGCAAACAGTTCACGGAACTTCGACAGTCGTTCTCAATATTTCAAGATCGATCGATACATCGTATACCACGTTGGCGTCAACAAATAGTTCCCTCTCCACCAAATCGTCGTTTCTAAAGTTGTCCACGTTGCATCGTTAAACATTCACCTTGCCATCCATCGATTAAACAATACCAACTCCCTTTAACCCTTTCATTCCCGAATTATTGAAAAATTATCAAAGAAATATTTTGCTGTATCTTTCTGTATATTAGATAACATATAAATGATTCACCAGAACATTTGAACATTTTCAAACCGTTTAATGCCATTTTTTATTCGTTGCCATTTGACAACTTTTTCACTTTTATCACAGTTATTATATAAGAAATTAGAGCTTCGTATGTTTCTATTGTATTTGTAACAATGCGCAACACTTGAATTCCATCAAATAAAAGAGACAGGACCTATGATGTCTTATTATACCGATAACGTTTTAAATGCACATTTGAATATGTATAAGGCTAAAAAAAACTATCATATACTCACGGATACAAAAAAATACACGATACTAATATTTTATTTCTTAATTTAGAATACGTAGCCATATGGCAACAATGGGAACGAAAGGGTTAAAAAAAACACAGAGCCTTAACATGAAACATTCATTCACTTTAATAAATTCTTGTATTTACAAACACGTGTAATATCGATCGTCAAAAATTCTCTATCTCTTTTCCTTTTGAAATATCGACAAAAAAACCCTCCTGTTACGAGGTACCCAGCGTAATAAAAAAAGAATATCAAGCAACGTTCGTTTCATGCATGCACGGTTCCTCGGCGTAACGCGTTCCGGTTCCGCGGAACACCCGGCACAAAACTCGCGTCTCTCTATATATATTTTTTTTTTTTTTTGAGGGGGTGTATCAAACGGATCACGAACAATGCAATTTACGCACGTTGCACTCGCGGTATCGTGGTGGTTCGCGTCGCCGACGGAATTTTCACGAGTCACCTCGCGACTTCCGACCACGATAACGCAACGGATACAAAGCACAAGGGTTCCACTGTTTTTTTCGAAAACTGAATTCTGTCGAAACTCTCCTCCCCCCTCCTTTACAACCTACCCCAGTCTCGATTCATTTTTTTTTCGGGGGTTAAAAGCACCGGGAGACTCGTGTGCGTGCACGCGCCCCGTCCTCCTCTTTTTTCGTCTTTCTCTTTCTCTCACCTGCCCCGTGCTCGAACGTGCGCGCAGCGCGTGCCCGTCAAAGTGGAGAAACTTTCTGTGTGTGTGCACGATAAAAAAAAAAGTAGTGGAAGAATGCCAGGTTTTTTCGGGGCGTGTGTAACCTTTCTTTGTGCGTGTCTGTGTGAACATGCACGGGGGTAAACGGGGAACAGGCGTGTTGGAGAACACACCTAGGGTTAGCGATCGCGAGAGGACCAGGGCGCACTCCATCCTTGTGTCAGAGCTGCCCTGGTTTGTCGTGTTTGGGATAGAGAACGAAGATTCGGAGATAGCATGCGTAGAGGGATGAAGGGAGAACACGGGATCGAAAAGCGAAATCTCGATGGCCGTGGTCCGGTGAATTAGCCGTTGCCCGTGTACAACACCAGCTTTCCCTCGTGTGCTACTTTTTCTTTCTCTGGGATCGTTCTTTTATTTTTTTTTTATCGCTGTTTTAGGGAGATGCTTCTGCGGGGTGACCGAGCCTTGGTTGTTGCGGCCAGAGTGAAGAAGTATTGGGGAGGATTCTTTCAATGATTGTGACTCTATTACATCGACTGGTAAGTAGATTATGAATGTTTACTTGAAATCAAACGTTTGGGAGGAATTTGCATCGTTTGATTAGGTTAAAAGGAATGTTGATTGTTTGTTGATGCTGTATGGAATTATAGATGTAGTAAGTGTATGACTATCTGTATCTTAATTTGGAGATGAGTATTATTATTTAAAATTGTACGTTGAAACCTTGTAACTAATTTTAGGGAAACGTTGAGGGGTTTTTAGAACTTGGAACAATTTAGAGAATTTTAGCACTAGAGAAATATTGACAATTGAATACTATATGTACAATTTTCATGATCGTCTCGCATTACCTTGAAGATTGTCTTGGAAAATTCTTCTACGACATAATCCCAATTACGTATGTATAATACGCCCCGCTATACTTGATAATAATAAATTTATTAACTAGAACGTGAAAAACACATGGCATATGGAAGATCTCATTTAAGGCGAATGGTATATATACTTTGCACAATCTGTCCATCAGCAATGAATATTTAAAAAATTTAAGAGAACCCCGATTATTTTCGCGTTTCACCTGAGATTAAAATTGTTTCGATCGAGTCAATCTAATGCAATTGTTATCTGAAAACGTGTTAAGCCCTTTTAAACGAGACTTTAATGAGTCGAAATTTTCGAATATCCAGGAAGGGGAAGGGTGGGCGGTACATCGAAAGCGATCGAGCTCGGCCGGTAAGCACTTCCGCATACAAGCCTGACAAAATATTGTGAAAAAGCCCCGTAGGTATAAGGGCGGCTTTTATATAAATCGCGAGGAAAACACGGCACCGTTATAAAGAGGGATCCCGTCCGATCTAAGTTGGAGAGCATTCCATTGTCACCCGATATATAAGCGCGAATCCGCCAATAATTTCCAAGCTACGCCTTACCAAAACAATCCCAAGACGATTTTTTTTCCCTCCCCCGTGTAGCCCAGAGAGCGATTCGTAATCCTTCCTTGGGTGGAATTTTCAAAGGGTTGCAAAACCACTCGGTTTTCCCGCGTAGCGATTATGTAATCGTTTCTCTGTAATCTCCGCAAGGAAATGAGCTAACACAGAGACGACCTCATAGGGGGAAGGGTGGGGGGAACGTTTTTTAGAATGGTGTACGGTGCAGCATTGAAGGGCAGACGCGAGGAAAAACTGTTTACAATGGCCAGATTATTGGCAATTATTACGATACTTAACCCTTGGCCGTCCGATGTAAAAGCGTGGAGCTGCTACCTGGTGTCGGAGCCATTGTGCGCCAGATGAGGCTTGTAACCCTTTCAGACCACCCCTTTTCGGATACCTGCCGCACAGGGATATTGGGTAGAAAGTTAAACGTCGTCCCATTTGTCACATCGCGAAACACGATCCTTTCTTATCCCACCCTTCTCTAATAGAGAATACTTTTTTACTATTTTTCCTTAAAAGAAAACAAACAAACAAATAATTCACAGAATCTCGTTTTCGAACGTGAACCTGGTGCCATAAGAGTCAAAGGACAAAACTATAGAAAATACCCACCCTCAAGGTAGGAACGGTTGACCTCTAAAAATATGCTCGAAAATAGTCTAACAACTGGACAATATTTCGCCAGGCAGTAAAACAGACCTAAGGGTTGTCAGACCCGACCCAGAGCTCTATACGATCAGTTTTGAATGTCCCTGGACGTTATTAGGTCCGTAGAACTCGTAACCTAACGTTTTACTCTCTCTCACTGTGCCAAGCTGGTTTCCCTGTTTACGGTCGGTATAATAC